GCCTAGCAGCAGCATTCATGGTGATATTCGGAATCAGCATCGTCGACTACCTATAGTCCACTCGGTTTCGTTGAAAAAGCGATTTATCAGTTGGGGTACTTCCCTCGTGAGTAGCTTTTATTTTAGCTACTTCAGCTGTTTTTCACTGATTGCGTTGATGCGGTCATAGGGGGTGAATTCACGTTAGATAATGACTGAGATGATTGAGAACCATGGGTATCCTTAGGTAATCCTCGTTCATAGAGTCATCTACATGCTTGTCGTTTAGTTTTATACTGGTCAGTGAATCGGACACTGATGAACACTACTTGAACTCACTGACATTTCCATCTACTGTTTGATCTTGGTTCTTTTTGTTTTACTTTAGGCATTTTTATTATTGAGTGAAGCGCAACGAGATGATTATATTCGATCTTCGTCAACCGCGGAAACTGTTCATGCATCTTATACATTTGTTAATAATCAAAAACCATCTTTCAGTTTAACTTGTGATATGAAAACAGCGCAATGGGAAACGGTATAGACAGTATAACGTTTATATATATTTATTTATAGTTAAAATAATTTTGTTTCTAATTTAGGATAGCACATTTGCATTGAAAAATATTGTATTTAATGCTTATCCTGGTGATTTAATCTGTGTAATAGGTCCAGTAGGATCCGGAAAGGTTAGACTTTTTCTTCGCATCAAAAAAGCAAAAAATGTTGGATTCTACCTTCTTGTACCTGAAGTTTGATTGAAGCTTCTTGTTGCTTTTCTAACACATTATTCTTTCCTCTATTTCTTCTTCAATAGAGTTCTCTGTTACAAGCTTTATCTGGTGAGATTGCTTCTTTTTATGGTAAAATACGTGTGAATGGAACATTTTGTTACGTTCCACAAGAATCATGTAAGTATTCACCACAAACGCGGTGGTATGAAGAGACTTTCCTAACAACTTGTTTTGATCAAATTTGCTTTGGAAGTAGCTTGTTTGTGCTTGTGCCGTCTTGTTTTTCTGCTCAACCACTGATTAATGTCATTGCAATGATTTTATTATAAAAATATAAAAGAATTGATGATAAGAAAGTTGTATAAAGCTGTTTCACGCTGCAAACGCTTCGTTGTTGACTGTGTAAACCGTATTAATAGACTGTGGAGATCAAGTTGTATTTATACATAAAACAGTCGAGGTTGAGAGTGAGAATTCTCAATGAACTGTACAAAATGTTCATCACGTGATGAGAATTTTTAATAAAAAGAAAAACTTTTTCAGAAAAGAAAAAAGGATGACATAATACATGCAGAATGAAACGTTGTTTTGACAAAATACAAATGTTCTGTCGTAACCTCAAGTGTATCCTCCTCCTCTTTTTTAATCAAATTTTCAATTTTGAGTTAGATATACTACAATACAGAGTAAAGTGTCCTCCACAAAAAGAGGTCTTTCCTAACATTTGAAGACCTTTTCTAGAGGAAATATAAAATTTTTTAGCATTTTCCTGTAGGTATCCAATTCATCATTTGTAAAATCAAAAAAAGGTTTCCTCGTCTTTTTGTGGTCACTAAAATATTCCCAGATGGACGCTCTTGTAGAAGACGCCTAAAATGAGACGTCTTCTCGGTTTATAGGAACTTTTTCCACGGAGATATGAGTATCAGCCCAAAACCCTTATAAAAACTGATGTTATGATGCAATGTATTTTAGTTAAAGCACCAGCAGCTTTAACCTCAGTTCTTACGGTTCTACGAAACTTTCGTCCAATTAAGCTGAAAATTTTATCAAAGCACTTGCGGCCATATCTCAGAGGTTAAAGTTATCTTCAGTATTTTCAACCTATGTTCCTGACATATAGAGCTTTTAAAATCAAAAATTAAATCGATTTAGAGCTAATAAGTTAGAAAACACTAATCGTTTCACGAAAGCAGCATCCATATTTTAATTAACATAAAATTACTCGACGTTTCGACTGTCACAGTCGAAACGTCGAGTAATTTTATGTTAATTAAAATATGGATGCTGCTTTCGTGAAACGATTAGTAAAATCAAAAACCAAGGTTTTCACGGAATTTTCATATTTTCGATAAAATTTCGGGCAAACATGATAAAGGAAGATCGAAAAAAGATCTCTGTATTAGTCCGTTAGGTATCTCCAGTAAAATGTTTAGCCCTATTGGATGAAATTTTAGAAGGGCCAAAATGGACTGAGGTTAAAACATGGCTTTATAGAAAACTCAAGATTTAGTAGTCGGTGCAAAGTACATCGCGTTTCTTTTTGGGTGTTCTAGCTGTCATAAAAATTTCGAGTCACCGGACGTTTCGCCGCTATTCTGTAATAAGTTGAAAAAAGAGGGGATCTAACTGTTGTTGTCGTTGCCCTTGGTGGTGTTTGAATTTGATGTTATTTATTTTTTGACAGAGACAGAAGTTAAATAAATACATTTCTGTGCTAGATCTTATTACGGTAGAATTTTGCAGATATTGAACTTCCAAAAGAGATAATCTGATTGCCTCTGTGTCACGTTGAACAAGAGATAAAAATAGAATAAAATAATATCTAGTTTTTTGTTTTGTATTTTCTTTCGTGTCTCTCCCTCTCTCCCAGTGTCATGCAATGGGCACAGCCCGATTTGATTACTGTTTCTTCTATAATAAAGTTTAAACCAATATACAGATACACCTTGAACATTGATAGTTCACGTGATATAGATAGTGAGATAAACTGATGAAATATCTCACTTTTGATGAATAATGAAATAATGACGAACTACCGACAGAAAGATGCAGAAATCAACATAGTAACGGTATTAGAACCGTTACAAGAAGCACCTTTAATATACTACTACTACTTACTTCCATTTTATTTACTACCACTCAGCGGAAATACAGACGACATGATCGTTTATATTTTTTTAGGGATATTTTCATCATCATTGGAACAAAATGTTCTATTTGGTAAAGATTATGATCAAAAATTATTTAAAAAAGTTATACATGCTGCAGCGTTAGAAACAGTATGTGTGTTTATTTATTTGCCGTTGATGACTTTCTATGTTTGTTATCTTTTTAAGGATTTTATGCAATTACCGAATGGCAAACATACGATTGTTGGTGATCAAGGTGTTACGTTAAGCGGAGGTAAGCGGTAGCGTTGTTAAACCGACTTATGGGGAGTCTACCCCTCCACTATATTTTGCTATAATGTAGGCTATGGCATGAACTATTTGACTAACCCTCGTTATCATGTCTGAAATGCACAGTTTAGGAGTAATTCAATAAGTACTAATTAAATTTGATTAACATTTCGATTTTGATGGTATTATAAAACAATTCATTATATTTTATTAGAATATCCTATCAACATCGTTACAGAGTTATTTTGTAGACAATCTTTGGTTGTACATAATAAGCAATCTCAAAACAAAATTTTGAACAGAAGTTAGATGAAAATTAAAATATTCTAAATTTTAAAAGTTTTTAATTAATAAGTTTTGTTTTTTCGGTTGTTTTTGTGGTTAGAAAAGAAAAACTGTTCCGCTTATCCCACCTAGAATTTCATAGGAAACAACTTTTATTCCAAAAGTTTTGATGAGTATGGTGTGCGTAGTCAGGATTCGTGGCAAGATTTTGAAGCGCGTATTCCTGCAACAAGGGCTTCCGAAAACCCCAGCAGTATTACCATAATCAATAATTTTTAACTATAATATGATGACTAGATAGTTCGAATTGTTTTCTGCAATTCTGAACAAGGCCAGCCTCTCTGTCTGTTGTGGTTCTGAATTGGCAGGCATTTTCCAGATTCAATCGTAATTCGTTACCATTTCGTCGAATAAATGCCTCCTATTCGAAAACCACAACAGATAGAGAGGTCGGTCTTGCGCAGGGTTGCAGAAAACACTTTGGGCTACCTAGGCACTATGCTATAATTAGAAGTTCACGGCTGGTTCCGAATCTGGCAACCTCAACGCTTTTCATCCCTCCGGTACACAACCTGAAAAACCGAGATTTTTAGCACAAAACATACGTGAAGATAGAGTAAAGCCTTCTCTACCAAATGCAGAAAGTTCGAAATCTCTATCTCGTTTCGTTCTCGAGTTATTCGAAAAACCTCCATAGCCACTCTATTCAGAAATCAATAATAGAAACCACGTTTGTCTAAAACCGAGCATAAATAACTGCTTATTGGTAACATTTTGAAAAGGCAAATACAGGTGTTTGCAGCCCTTGGAAATCTCTGTCGAATAACGTATTACTTCATCATTTCAAATAAACCGTTAAGTTGCAAATAAAAGTGGAAGGCACCAGAATGATATTAATTAGTATTTATTAGCATTGATTAATTATAAATTAGTGTCTTAAAAAACTTTTAAAACTTTTTACATCAAACCATAATAACAGACCATTGGCTATCAAGCAATGTTTGAATGACTTTTCTACGAATATTTTTAATGAGCTACAAGCTTTTTAAAGTGCGGACTAAGACTTTAAATTTTAATTAAAATTTAAACTTAATTAATTAATTAACTCTGTGAATAGTTATCAGTTCATCAAAAAATTTAAGGATATATGTAATCAAGTGTCCTCTTCAAACTGGCATAGTCTGTGGACACATATAGGGCCTCCCCTGTAACGGCCACTTGCCGTTACATATTTTATTTTCTGTCTCTTATTGGCTAAGTGTTCTAGTTGAAGTGTGCAACTCCGTTTTGCAGCATGAGTAATCATTCTATTACTTTCTATTCTATTTTCACATTATTCTACCTTGATCGATTCAGAAAAATATCTACATCAACAAAACGCTTGAGACACACTCTTTCTTTCAAAATCTTCTTTACAACAACAGAAAAAGGAGAGTGCTATATATGTAAGACGATAGTATGGCTGGATGTAAAAGAAAGAGAAAAAAAAGTATAATGAGGATGATCGTGTACAGTTGTCATTCATACTGATTCAGGAAAGAAAGGAGAAATTTAGTTTTTATTCCATATCTTTTTTAAAGTTGGGTTATATTAACGCAACTTAACAAAAAGTGAACGTTTTCGTAATTTGAAGACAACTATTTTTCTAATAATATTAATAGGACGTATAGAAGAGTGAGAGAGCAAGAGGTGAAGATAAAATTACTTAAAATAAAAAGAAAAAGAAAGATCTATTCGAAGTATTGATTGACATGTTTGTTCGGATTTGCGGACTTCAAAAGTTCCTGCTTTTCCTCGTCTCCATTCTCAATCATAGAGTGACGAAGATTCGGACGGTGAGAGAAAATACAAACAAAAATTCAGGCATTTTATCGCAACTCTTTTTGTTTTCTTCTCCCTCTGCAACACGTTTATCTCGACCGTTTCCGCGTGAAGGTTGGAATTTTGATGTTTGCAATTATCTGTGCAAAAATGTATAAATCATTATGAAAATGCAATCAGTTAGAATAAAAGTATAGTGAAGAGAAATATCTTCAAACCTTTTCTTTTCCTCTTTCTCTTCTATAATCCAAAACAATATTTAGGAAAAATTATTTAAACAAAAACAGGTAAAAGCTACGAAAACTAGTTTTAACAGCAGCTTGATATTCGGAAGAAAAGTGTGCACCTCGACTGGGAATCGAACCCAGGACAGTGGTATTCACGACCATTGCTCTGACCGCTGAGCTAAATATAATAGGATTTTACGTAAAACTTTCATGGCTTCGCTACTAAAAATATGTCCGTTTGCTACTCTAAGAAAGCCGGTAACATATAAAAAGTGCGATTCGGTCTTGTATGGTCCTGGTGTGTTCTCACTTCCAGGCGTGCTTGGCGATAAAATTAGTTTGCGTATAGTAAAAATCCTCATCACTATTTAATAGAGTAATCATAAGGAAGAAAATGTGTGTATCGAAGGCTGTGCCTCGATAGCTCAGCGGTCAGAGCAATGGCCGTGAATACCACTGTCCTGGGTTCGATTCCCAGTCGAGGTGCACACTTTTCTTCCGAATATCAAGCTGCTGTTAAAACTAGTTTACGTACACATGTTTAGCTCATACACTAAAATTTACATAGGTAAAAGCTAGATCTATGTACGACTACAGAAGGTCACAGTGACTCTTCATCTACATTCTTGGATGAAAGTCATAAATACAATTTTACTTTGTACGCGCAGCTGATATCTTGATTGCTACCACCACCATACTAGCAAGTTTTAGAAGTAGCCACAAATTATTGCTCGCCAATCCAACCTGACATCCAGCTACCGTAGACTATCCGGTAGTTTTTCAGCTACAACTGCAGTCAAGTTTCTGTTATTCATGGAACTCGACCAGGGTTTGATGACAACTATGTAACTTTTATCCTGTTGACTGAATCGCGTATTGTAGTTAAAGGTTTTAGTTAATTTCTCAACTAAACTCTACCTTGCATAGATGTTTCTTTAAGCATCTAAATGATCTCCACCATCTTCATCAATATTATCATATTCACTTATTGAGATAATTTGTTGTTGATGGTGTAGTTGAGAAGGATGCTGCCATTTTTCAAAGAGTTAAGACTCTTGAGAGTGATGGCAGCCAAATTTTTGAATAAAACAAATTCATCGAAATATTTTTCGAATATTCAGATTTAGAGAAAATCGCGGTCAGTTCTTTCCGTTTATGAAAACACTGAAAATTTAGCACCAGAAACTTCTTGCATAAATCTCTAATTGATATATTTAAATTTTACACTATCCAGTAAAAATGACGCTCCTATTTCAAGATTCGAGGACGAATCTCGTGGGGCAAAGGAGGTCCTTGTAACGGCCACTTGCCGTTACATATTTTATCTTCTGTCTCTTAAAAAGTTTCAGAAACTTCTTCTATGCGCTCTTTATACAAAGAGAGTCAAATCAGTTAATAATTGATTTTTGTTATAATTTTATGTTTCATAGTGACGCGAAAGTGGAGACACATTATCTTCGTGTCGAGAATTCATTAAAAAAAATCAGTTTTCTTCTTCAATATTCTAAACTTCGCCTTTGTCTCTCATCTTAAGAGAAGAAGACTTATCATCATCATCATCATCTTCAATCTTCTTCTTCTTCTTTTATCATACAAAAGAAGAAGAAATTCTAATACTTTAAGTTTAGAATTAATATAAACTAAATCTTACATTTAATTTATATTTAATATTCTTTTAAAATTATAAAATATAATTTAGTGTTTTCATTTGCAGTACTATCATTTCGTTCTGCGCGCTCCTTCTCCTCATCGATAGTCATCAATTGAAGAGAAGCAGATTATCAATTATTAACAACAACCATTAGATATTATTATTAACTATTACTGTTTCATCAAAGTACATTAGTTTTTCTGTAAAATAGTATATCGTAATAATAATTTGTTATTGGTGTGCGAAACCGAACTGGAGATTGCTTTTGTTATAGCAAGTTATAGAGAGCTAACGTGCTACTACACCCCGCCCCCCCCCTCCTTAATACTATCAAACTAATAATAATCATTATAAATGTGCTACATATCGCCTTTTTTTCTAGGACAAAAAGCACGTGTAAATTTTGCACGTGCCTTATATCGTGATGCTGATATTTATTTTTTGGATGATCCATTAAGTGCTGTTGATATTAAAGTGTCTAATCATTTATTTGAACAGTATGGAAAGAAGAAATAAAAATATTTCGAAATTTTATTTTTATTCCTTCATTTTAGATGTATTAAAACATATTTAAAAGATAAAATATGTATATTAGTTACACATCAAGTACAATATTTAAAAGATGCAACAAAAATTATTGTTTTGAACGATGTATATATATTCGTGAATAGTGCTATTAGAATTTTTATCATTTGTTTTTGTTTTCTTGAAGGGTGAAGCTGTTGAACAAGGAACATATTCTGACTTATTACTTTCATCTGTTTCCTTTACAAAATTACTTGAAGATATACATCAACATGGAAATGATAATGCAAAATCAAATGATGAAAACAACCGTCTTAATTTATCAGAAGATGATTCGGATGAAAAGGTATTATGTACTTCACTTTTTTAGTCATTATTTTTTAGTCATTAAAGTATTTTCATTGATTTTTATTTTAAATGCCGGGTAAGTCCATCGGATCTTTATACATGTCTTTTTCTACAAGTTCCAACATCCATTTAAAATGACAGCCCGTTCGATTCTAATCACAAATAATATCACTTTGAAAAAGTTTTAAAATCTCATCACAGGGACAGAAGGAAGCCCTAGTGAATGTACTTGCATGCATGTACTTGATCAAGTACCCGCGCAAGTTTTATCCAACGTTCTTGCACTTTTTTGCCAGTAAACCAAGTACTTATCAAGAATATCAAGTACTTGAATTACTTTATCTTCCTGTCAAGTCATTTGCCATGCATTTGCCCAAGTACCTCCCGCCCCCCCCAAGTATCTGTGGAATGTTCAACAAGTAAATCACGTACCTGGCAAGTGCTTTCAGGTATTTATCGAGTAGTATTTTTTGAAAATACTTGTCAAGTGCTTTTTAAGTACCGGTGGAAATTTGCAAGTAAACAAGTATCCACTCCCAAGTACATTCATTAGGAAGGTCGATATTTTGATTTTTTGAAAGAAAATTCTGGAAGATGGCAGTTGATTTTCTCCAAAACTATACGTCCCCTGATGCTAACAATATGTTAGCCTACTCACCACCAATAAATTGTCGCATTTAAAATAAATTGTAAAATATACAGTTTACTCTATTGAAAAATGGTAATCAAGACAAAAGTTATTTAGAATGAAATAAATTTTTACCAAAGTTCAACTGTACGGCTTGTCCAGCTAACGGTCTCCTTTTTTCGCTATTTTTCAAAGAACTATGGCAATAAAGTTAGAAAATAATCTAAAATTACAACTAGATAATTTAGTAGATTAAACATTTCTCTATAAAATGAAAAGTGTCTCGGCTCTGAACGTTGATTCGTTATGAAAATACAGCTGTTGTACAAAGAGCCCCAAAAATCGATGTTGAGGCTATCTAAAAAGCTTGTCTAAAAGAGTGAAGACGAGCCGGCAAAAATTGAACAACTATACCAGTTTGTAGAAAATTGTGTTGCTCTACAAGATGTGATAGCTTGTCAAGTTCGAAACTATTCTAATTAATCTGTCTTACTCAAAGAAAAACCAGAAAAACCGTGGCACCGTGACAAAAAACGGTCAAAAGTGTCAGACCGTTAGCTGGACAACCCGTACAACATACTTCAAGTTCTAATCAATGTTAAAATTTTATTTGTTTAAACTGTTGAATAGACCTCACTGTAGAGCCCGTCGGGTCCATGATTTCTGGACCCGGACCCGATGAATTCAAAATTTTTAGACCCGGACTCGGACCCGATGGGATCTACCTCGCTGAGACAGTCGCCTTTGAACAGTACTTGGCACAAAATTCTGCTAGTGCCAGCTGCAAAATTTACACGTGCTTTTTTGTCCTCAATGAAAAGACGATATGTGGCAAATGTATTTTGATTATTATTAATTTGATAGCGTTAAGTCCGCGTAACAACGCCACCGCTTAACGTAACACCTTGATCACCAACAATCGTATGTTTACCATACGATAATTGCATAAAATCCTTTAAAAAAACCATATAAAGTCATCAACGTCAAATAAACAAAAACATATACTGTTTCTAACGCTGCAGCGTATATAGCTTTTTAAATAATTTTTGATCATAATCTTTCTACAGGTCAGGTTCCTCGTTCACAAAATCGGACCCCATACATATTCCTCATCTAGTTGTTGTAGACTTTCTACAGAAAAAATTAAAGAGGTACGTTTTGTTATTCCGGAGATTTTTAAACCTAAAACGCTCGATTTCTAAAAAGAAAACCCGGAAAATCATAATTTCGATATAAATTTCTTTTCAGCATAGACCATGATAGTCCATTTGCTTCTCTACAAAGAGAGTGTTCTAGAGCTCTTTGCAATAGTTGAAGAGTTCTAACGTTGATAAGAAAAAACTATCAAAAATTCATTCGTTTTATTTCTTTTGGTGTTTTCTATTTTGTTATATTGTAGAGCGTTCTGGAACATCTCGTTTTGTACACAAGCAAATGGACTATTACGCTGTATGCTTAACAAAGATTTATTTCGAAATTAAGGTTTTATGGATTTTCTAAAAATAAAACCGAGTTTTTTAGGTATCAAAATCTCAGAATTGACAAAGTATAGTCTGTAATTATTTTTCTGTATAGAGTCTGTATTATATAGATGAGGAATATGTATGGAGCGCGTTCTTATGAAAGAGGAATCAGGCCCGTGGAAAGTGTGAGGTTATTCCTTTCAGAATCGTTTTGCATCCAATGGTTAATAGCCAAAGAAGAATGTAACTGTTACACACACTTTATTTCAGTAAATTAACATCTATATATAGTATATTTTAGCTACAGG